AACCTACCCATTACCTTTTTTATATCGTTCGAGTCTGCAGTTGTTATTAAAAATTATATTACATATGCGTTGCCGTTGAATACAATAATATAACTGGTACAGGTAGAATGCATACATAGATAGTAACAATGAAATTAATTTATGCACTGCATGAATTTGACCTTAGTCGTGAATATCGTCGTGGCATGTTTTTTTTTTTTTTTAAACAGCTCGCAAGTATAGAAATCGGTAAAGTTGCGCGTATTATGTAAAACGAGAATAATTACGAATGACGAGAATTTGTCGAGAGCCGTGATGTTTATGTACATTATATTGTATACAAATATATTTAAATTAGCTCTGCCAAAACTGTTAATAATATAATATATTATAAGGTGCACCGCAGTTAATTTGTCACGAGAATAATAATTAAAAACCAATTAGTTTTATTACGATCGTTGCATTAATAGATTATTAGAACAATTCAGCAAATCATGATACACGAATTTCAGTAATTTATATGATAGCTTATGTGAAGCAATTATTTTATTAAAGAAACGCATTATATAATAACTTGATAAAGATCGATACACCCTGCAATAATAACGAAAAACAATTAAACAATGCTCCTTTGGTAGTTTTTCCCCAAATAAGTGAGGAATCACTCCCAACAAATACATTAGAAATGTGAAAATCTATTCGTGCATTACTTGCATTTGACCCATTATTTTACTTAAATGTGTTTCTCACGTACACATGTTATAGACATACAGTTATGTCGAGGACGCCGCCCTCGCTCTAATCGTCGGCAATTAGTGACTGAGCTATTCTAACACACATACGTACGCACACACACAAACTAATATTTCATGAACACGCGCCTTCCGGGCCCGCCGAGCTCTCCACGTATACATTAAATCTCACAAATGTGTACGCATAAATTTTGTAACCCTTTTTGCTATATGATCCGGTGCATTTTATTATATAAATAGGTACGCATAGTGCGTATCTAAAATATAAAACATCCGAGAATGATTAACAAGTTGAGAAGAAAGAATGAAAAAAAAAAAAATACTCACATGAATGAAGGCACTCGACAATTGTTGTAGGGTCGATATAGTAGCCAGCGCATAGGACACATACTAAATGCGGGTTCAGGCTTTTCACCAGAGTCCGACGCGTTTCTTTCATGGCTGTCACTCTCTGTAAGGGAAGATAAAAAAAAACACTGAATAAATATTTTTGTTAAACAAATTTGACACGTTCGTGACTGTAATTGTACGCCCAAACAAACCATTCATAATACTTATATAATATTTTTGATGACTTTTAAAATTAATTTAAAGTATATGGTTTATCGGTTATATTATGAAGCGTGGTTTYCTCCTCGGTCTATTGTATACATAATATAGTAAAAATGTAAACATAATCAGTCTTCATTATACGTCACAATTATTGCTTGTAAAACATGGTAGGCATTAGGTATACTAGGTACCTCATTATTATTGTTAAACTATTTACAAGTCACAAGATAAAAATCAGTTGTAATAATTAAGATATTTCGATATACATAAATTAAAAATAATTACGAGTACCTAACCTCAATGAAATACTTCTATAAAACTGTTTTAAAGTGTTCATTATTTTAACACTTACTATAAAAGTTTCATCCATTAAACACGTATAAGGTTCCGTAAAAATATGAATTTATCAAAGCACTTTGATAAAAAAAAAAAGTCCGTCTGAATATAATGCGGAAGATTTTCCGCACTCTTTGTGCTCACAGTGGTGGTAAGACACACAAAGATGTACTCACGAAACCCCAGGGAAACGAAATAACGAATGAAGGCGAGGCAAGAAACGCTACGGGGGTTCAACGATTCATTTCATTAAACGTGTAAACGATATTCTGTCTATAGTGAAAAACACAACAAGTATAGTGGTGGTTTTAGAAGTATAATATAGTTWAACGAACCGTTAAGAAAATCTAATACATATTTTACTTTATTGTGTATCTTTTTCCCTTAAAAATGAGCGCCAATAAAAAAAAAGATTAGCATTTTTCCCTTACTTTAATTTTTACACAATTAGTCTCCATCATATATACCATTATGTTTTTACCACAAACGGAGTCTGAAATAACTCTCCACAATCCCAGGCGTTTCAACCGAAAATCATTTTAATGGCGGGACAAAATACAACGAATGCGGAAATCAGAAAAATTGCTTCGATAATTTTAGACTATAGGTATAGAGATTTTCATTACCTATATACTTAGAAGTTATAAGTTACAACCGTTGTATGTGAAAAGTATATTTCTTAAGATATACACGCCGTCCATTCATCTGACATTACTGCAATTAAATCCTCCTATATTAAAGTGATGATTGATTAATCGAAAAAAAATACGATCATTGCAGGCGTATTTAAAATTATATTACTAAAAAACAAATTTTAATTAAAAAATAATTATCATTTAAACTAAGGTTAAATAAAAAAAAATGTTTATATACATTCATAATCAATAGCCATGAAGTCAGAAATGCATAAATGTATAAAAAATCAGTCAGTTAATAGATCATTGTTATTCGTGCAATAGTTTTTTTTTAAACATAATATAACAGCGATGTTATAAGTGTAATGAAYATGTTKAAATTGCTAGATTATAGAGAGCTATAAAATATAGGCGTAAAGGTGCTATAGGTAATTTAAGTTCTTTAATAACATTAAAATGAAATCAATTGCAGTGTTACGTAGTATTTAGGATCCATTTGGGTATGTTTCTTCTGCATTTTTTTTTTTTTTTACCGAGGGATAAAAACCATAGAAAAATAATATGAACTCTACGTTTGCCCTCTCATTCTCTTCCGCACCTCAACCACCTCAACACAGCAACGAAAACAAAACGAAATTGGATTAACGCCCCGCCGACGACAACGGCGCCGAGTATATATAGGGTCGCAGAGTAAAAGTATTATTATATAGCCTTTTATTTAATCGCATTACCGAAGGGGGTGGCAGCCCACCGAAAAGTCGGTTTTACCTAAAATCGCTAACGCCCCCGCCGCCTGCACATAAATCATCGTTAAACGCACACGCTGTTATTGTCACCACCACTTCCACCGGAACTGTGTGACTGGCGGGCGTCGTCAAGAGTGACTCGAAAGATCGATAAGAGTTGACGCGTTATCTACGCACCATATATATTATATTCGCAGTCGTCTTAACAAATGAAGATAATACGAGCGTCCGTGGTGCAGAAGGATGTGTTTACTACAAGTATTTGTTTTAGAGTAACAAAATAGCCACCGGCCGACCGGCCTGCAGGTAATATGCATAATGCGGATAGGACATCCCTATATTTAATATACATCACGTTATACTACAGCGACCGAAGAGTCTACTACTTACGATAATGGTTATAGCGGTTGTGGTTACGGTTTATGATTTCTACACGAAATTCTATATTATTATTATGATTATTTAATATTGTCAGCGGTGAGGATACCATGACCTTAATATTGCATGTAACCACTATGGTAACTAGTATRATATTATGATCTTCAATCACACTATACATACAATAATGTATTTTCTATCCATAAATATTTTGTTTATTAAGTAATATTAGGTCGAAAAATTATAGTCACCCAAATTCGAAATTGCGATCATATGAAATGTATGACGAACATAAGTAGAATAAAAAACGTTATTTATCGTATGYCTCTATAGTGACGACTATACTTGGGTACTAAACGTATATAGGTTCACTTATTACAACGTTCAACAGCTGATTTAAGTAAATCCCGTTTCCCATACGGTCCAACGCTGGCACAATTTCGATACACGCAGTATAATGATATGTACACGTGTACTTAAAACCGAAACGTATCATAATAATAATAATAATAATATTCGAAACCCACGGGAACGATAATGTGGCGTGCGGTCTACATAATATGACGGTCGGAGGGAGAGAGTCGACGACGGCGATTTATGTACTCGGAGCGCCACGTGCGATTTATTATCGGTTGCCAGCGCGCGCACTACGTATATATATAACCCATATATCCATCGCCGAATGTGATAACATACGCTGTACAATAATAATATACCTATCCTTCTTTTACCACCTCCACCGGGCGGATAGATCGGTATTGTGTCATTAATGTATTCCAATCGTCGGTTTATTAATCGACGGCCGCCCCCCACACACCTCGCCATCATCGACTATGTACATAGGTACCCGTCGGCCGTCGCCTCGTGCGTCTTGGTCCGTTAAACTTACAAATAACACCGTAATTATTACAAATATAAGCACGGTCGGATAACCCGTCGTCTATAATAACGTCAAACGGTTTTTGGCGGTTGAAAAATAAACCGTAAGTCGTGATGTTGTTATAATATAATACTATCGTGTTCAATGCGTCCCCGAAACTCGGCTCGAACCGTACTCTGCACATAATATTATATTTGCATTATAAAATGCGATCGTTATTATAACAATAGTAATATCATAAATAATATATATTTGGGCTTTGTCGTACAAAATTTATATTCGTGTATGGTAAAGCAATGTGATGATGGGTGTACGCTTTCGTAGCGTTGACCGGCATCAGCTGCAGTTCACGCGTGGCAGAGGGACTGTGTTTTGAATTCTTTTAAATAATAATATTATTATCATCGTTCCGCAATCGGGTTGATTGGGCTACTGCTGTGGCGATGCATTGTAATGATATATATAATATTATATATATATATACAAACATACAACATAAACCGTGACCAACACCCATGACGGCAGTCGTTCCCATGGAACCACAACGTCAGTTTTTTTTACGTTCTCCATTCTTCTTCATCCTCACCGGTCGCGTTTCTGTTCGTGAATTTTCTGTACGGGTACCTTCCCTCCCYGTTGCTCCTACTCGACGACTTTCGAGTTCATGCTCAAACTCGTCCGAGCACAACCAGCCATATATACAAAAATAACTTCAAAATATCAAATTTGTTTGGGAAAATCGTTTCGTACACACACGCCTCCCCCCCACACGTGTAACACTCATTCAACGAACAAAGTTGTAAACTTTCGAATTCCACCTGCAGTAAGTAGGTAGTCGAACCAAGTCTCCAGCATTAGAGTCGTTCCATGCAGTCAACGCGAATGGTGCAATCGCAGTGTTACCAACCGGACGCGTGTCGTCGTCGTCGTCGCTGTAGTTTCCCGCGCGCCGGAAAAATCGGCCACCGCGTTATTGATCGCAGCACCCGCGACAGCACACTTGCGCACAGCGCCCACTCGCGGAAYGACCGGCACCCGGTGCGATGACATCCTAGAGCAACAAGTGTGGAACGACCTTTTTTTCTTCGTGTATTTGTATTCACCGGGCGGCGTAGCGATCGATAACGACAACGACCCAGGCGGACGGTCTTTGGCCATACAAAGATATTATACTTCCCCAAAAAAAGGGTTCCGTTTGCT